TCAAAGAAATAGAACAATTATTGATGAAATTCATATGGAATCACCAAAAACCCCGAATAGCCAAAGCTCTACTGAAAAAAAAAGAAGGAAATGGAGGCATCACACTCCCAGACTTCAAACTATACTACAAAGCCATAATCATCAAAACTGCATGGTATTGGAACAAGAACAGACATACAGACCAATGGAATCGAATAGAAAATCCAGAAATAAACCCACAGATTTATGGTCAACTAATCTTTGACAAAGGAGCAAAGACTATGCATTGGAGCAAAGAAAGTTTGTTCAATAAATGGTGCTGGGAAAACTGGGTCGCTACATGCAAAAGAATGAAGCTTGACCACTACCTCACACCATACACAAAAATCAACTCAAAATGGATTAAAGAACTAGACATAAGACCTGAAACCATAAAATACATAGAAGGAAATATAGGCGAAACACTACGGGATTTGCACATCAAAGACATCTTTACAGACACATCACCCAAAGCAGTGATAGTGAAGAGAAAGATAAACAGCTGGGACTACATCAAATTAAAGAGCTTCTGCACAGCAAAAGAGACAATAACAAAAACAAAGAGAAACCCCACCAACTGGGAGAACATTTTTGCACCCAACACTAATGATAAAGGACTGATCACAAAAATCTGCAAAGAGCTGATGAGACTCAGCAACAACAAAGAAAATAATCCAGTCAAAAAATGGGCAGAAGAGCTAAAAAGAAACTTCTCTGAAGAGGAAATGCAAATGGCCAACAGACATATGAAAAAATGTTCAACATCACTTGTCATCAGGGAAATGCAAATCAAAACTACCATGAGATACCATCTCACACCAGTGAGAATGGCACATATTAAAAAAACTAGCAACAACAAATGTTGGCGAGGATGTGGAGAAAAAGGAACTCTTGTGCACTGTTGGTGGGAGTGCAAACTGGTCCAACCACTATGGAGAGCTGTGTGGAGATTTCTGGACCTACTAAACATAGAGCTTCCATATGATCCAGCAATTCCACTCCTAGGTATTTACCCAAAGGACACAGAAACATCAATTCCAAAGAGCACCTGCACTCCTATGTTTATAGCAGCACTGTTTACAATAGCTAAGCTTTGGAAACAACCCAAATGCCCAAAAATAGATGACTGGATCAAGAAGATGTGGTACATATATACCATGGAATATTACTCAGCATTCAAAAAAGATAAACACATGCAATTTGCAGCAACATGGATGGCACTGGAAGGGCTCATGCTCAGCGAAATAAGCCAAAAAGAAAAAGAAAAATACCGGATGGTCTCACTCATAGCAGGAATCTAGAAAACTTAAATAAGGGACCAGGAAAATGAATATAAGAAAGTGAAAATCACAATCAACAAAAAACTATGAACCAGAGACACTTTTTGGGGGGTGGGGGGCGGGAGGGGAAGGATTGGGGTCAGAATGGGGCGTTTGCAATTGTATGGGGGAATATAAAAAATAAAATTTAATATTAAAATAAATAAATAAATAAATAAATAAATAAATGAAACTAAAAAAAAAAAAAAAAGAAATCATACATTGTCGTAGATCTTTTCATTGATTATTTTATAAACATTTTCCTTTGTCAGATGTTCTTTAAATCTATTATTTATAGTAGATGCATATATCTTGTTGTTACTGATGGTGTTTGTTTCACAACAGGTATGAATGGTGGTCCCGTACATAAATGTGGTACACATGGTAGGAAGGCAATACCAGAGCACAGGTAGAAACAGGGATTCCTGGGCCCTGACACAGACATTTACCAGTTATGTGATTGTAGGCAGTTAGTTGACCTTATGAAAGTCTAGATGCCTCATCCGAAAAGATGAGCTGTTTTGAGGGGTATATGAGAAAATGTAAAGAAAGGGCACAGCACCATGACTGGTACATAGTAAGCCTTGTGAGGCTTGGTTAGCCATGTGAGGCTGCTGATTGCATCCACAGGAATCTTCGATTTATCAGATCAAAGGGTATATATATTTCAAAGTTATGCAAACCAGGCCCTCAGATTAGCATAATGCAGATTCTCAGGCTCTATCCCACATTCTGAATCAGAATCTGCATTTTTAACCAGGTTTCCAAGTGATCTGTAGGTATATTAAAGTTTGAGAGGCACTCATGCTTAGTAGCATATAAGTAAGAGTGCTCATTTTATTACTAGGTGTTGCTATGTGTATTAATTAAAAAAAATTCCGAGCCTCCCCTGGTGGCGCAGGCGGTTGAGCGCAGCACTGTGAAGCTGTCCGCAGCCTCTGCAGCACCGATTTGATCCCAGCCTGCCAGCGAGGGTCCCACATGGTGGCAGCAGATCTCTCCTGTTGCACCCTCTGCTCCCCTCAGCAGTGTATTTCGTCAGTCTGCCTGTTCTGTTCCCTGCTCTGCTTCTGGTGAATCCTCTCACCCTCCTGCGCATCTGGCCTGTGCCCCAGTTCTTGTATAAATAAATAAATAAATCTTTAAAAAACAAATTCTTCTAGTACCAGGCACATTTTTATTGGAAAGGTAGCTACTGTGTTCTATAATGGAAAAACTTTAAAGTTTATGTAGAAATGGAATCTATCTATGGTTGAATCAACTGATTTCCTGGTTAACTTCAGATTTTAGGTTCTAGAACCTGATTCTAGAATTATTTGTTTCTATTATAATATTAAAGGTCTTGAACTTAAGAAATCCTATTGCTCAATTACCATTGTGGTTTCCTTATCTTTCCTAGTACTTAAGCTAAGCTAAACTGTTTTGTCACTTTCTGAATTATCCTCTTCAGATTTTCTGATTTAGGAGCTGAATAGTTTTCAAAATAACTCAAACTCTTTATATATACTATGAAGCATTGGATCAGATCATATTTATGAGTATTCATAATGATTTTCTTTTAATTCTATTTTCACCTTGCCTTTAATCACAGCTGACACTTTGGAAAGAGCAAGTTACTATCTTTTTTCTTTTTATATCATTTGAAACAACATTTTCTGGGATTTTGTTCTTTATTATATATTACTTTAGTGACTTCTATGTACTGTATTACTTAGGTAATTTTTAATAAATCCGTTTTTGTCTTAGTATTAGTAGCCTGCTTTTATGTGGGTAGAATAGATTGCTTTGAAGTATGTGCTCTGTCTGTGTTCTTTTCCTTTTCTAATTTAATTTCACTCCTTTTATTTCTGGTTATTGAAAGGACTATCATTTTATGTAAAAAAATTTTGGTCTTTATCTTTAATTACTTAAACCATTTTCATTATTACCCATTTGACAAGTAACTAATGAGTATGTACTATGCACCAGACTCTGGGGGTATATCTAATGGTGTATAAAATAGACATGATCCATACTGATAAGTATTCAATTATATTCAATAATTATAGTGCAAAGTGATTGATCAGTGCTGAGAGAGGCAGCACGGGATGAAGAGTACAGAGGGGAACACCTAACTCCAGAAAAGTGAAGTCTAAGCTAAAAATTGAAAGGATAAATATAAAGAGTAAAAGGTCAAAGAAAACTCAGGGTGATTGAGGTCCTTAAAGAAATTTGTGATGAATACAAAATGGACAGTGGTTTAGGAGAGGAGTGTGGGGATCTAAAAGTCAATGCTTTGTAAGCCATTTTAAGGTCTTGAGAGCAATGGTGATTTAAGAGCAACTAGGAAATCAACATGGCCAAATTTGCATTTGATAATGATTGCAGGCCAGTCATTAAGTGGAAATTAAGACTGGAGGTAGAAATACCACTTAGGAGACTACTACACGATTCTAGGGAAGAAATGGTGGTGGTCTCGGCTATAACAGTAGCAGGGTAGTTGGGGAAAATACAGAGATTTAAAGGATATATAAAGAACTAACTTGATATTACAAATTGTTTGGACACTGAGGGAGAAAATGGAGGAAAGTGTGATAAAAGATGGATGAGGGGAGTTTCTCAGGTTTTTGACTTGAACAATTAGGTGAATCATGGAGCCAATTGTTAAGAAAGTAAGTAAAGTAAGAGGAAGAGGCTTAGGAGAATAGATATGAGTTCAGTTTGGGACACTGATTTAAAATATTTATGGAACATTCAAGTTTGGATTCCATAAGGCAATAAGATAAATGGGTCTGAAATCTGGAAAAGAGATCTCAGTAGCATATAAAATGCAAGTTATCAGCATAATTGGTGGTAAATCGTGGCCATGAGAATCATAGAGACTGCTTTGAAGATGTCCAGAGTGAAAAAAGAGCCCAAGACAGAAGCTTGAGCATATTAGCGCTTGTTTTCACAACAGACAGTGTAGTATAAAAGGAGAGGACAGAAGAGATCTTGACAATGGGCATCTAACCATATTTTTGTTTGTTTTTTTTAAAAAGATGTGAAGACAGGTAAAAAATCCTATCAAGGACCATGTAATAGAGGGGCCAAAAATGACTAGTGCCATTGTCTGTTTTTCTTTATAATGGCTGCTTTTGTTCCTATAAGCCACTCTGCCCTGATAGTTTTCTGTTCAATTACCCAAAAGAGAACCTCTTCTATTTTTTCCTCTAGGCAAGTCTATTCCTGGCAAAATCCTCTCATGTTGTCCACCTTTACCCTCCTCTCCTCTCTACTCAATGTGTATGTCTCCACCAGTTTGTTTTCCTCAATCTCAGGCCGTGTGTTCCTCCTTCCGTTCTTCCTGGTTGCACAGCCCAGTATTTCAGCCACCAATCATTACTCAGATCAAGACAAAAGCATAGTTGCAGCTTTGAAATGAGTTCTTTATCATACTAAAATAAGAGAGACATTTAAACTATCTACTGATCTTTAAATTCTGAAAAGATGTTAAATACTATAGTCAAATAAGCCTGGCATGTATGTTAACAACATCTGGAATATCTTCTTTAAAACACCGGCATAATTAATATACTAAGAACTAACTTCTTGGTTTAAATAATAATCTATATCTGGTTTTTAAAGATCAGTTTAAATATCTCCATTGAATTTACTACTTATATTTAATAGACAACTACTTACGTTGTTCTTCTAAAGTCTTTTTGAAGAGTGGGATATTCTGGCATCTTTCTAATATCTTCCCAGTCTTTATCTTCCAAAAAAAAATTAAATATTGTTAAAAGAAATAATGTGTTACTTTTATCCAAAATATCCTAGTTATTTTAGCTTAAAACATATACATAAAATACTTAGTTTACTTTTGAAAAGGAATTTTTTGAGATAAAGCTCAAATGTTATTTTTGAAAAGAAAAATAAATTACCTGCAGGAAACCCCATGACACTAAATATTCGATCAAGTTGATCATGATGAAAGGGATTGCTTGTTTTTATATCTTCTTGACGACAGTGAAAAATAGGTTCTGAAGTCAACAATTCAGCAAATATGCAGCCTATTGCCCATATATCTGCAAAGGTAGAAAAACAAGTTTTTGTACACATTTATTATATTTGTTTGGTTATACTTTCTGGATATAATCACAAGCTACATATAAAAATATACTTTCCAGTGAAGCAAAATTACAGTAAGTATATTAAGAAAACATACAAATTATGAAATAGCTGTATATCAATAACAGATTGAAAAGTCAAATAAAAAACATTCACATGTAAATTTCCTAATGAAGATAGCCTAGGAAATGCAATCTAGCAAGCAATGAATTCACTTTAGATTTAGGCAAAAGTCTTTCTAAACACTATTGATTATTTAGTGGGGAGAGGAAGAACTAGAGTCAAAATAAGGCGGGGAGGGTACAATTGTATGGGGAATATAACCAAAATGAAAATGCATACATTGTACAAAGATGAAAAATGATGTAAGAATTATATAAAATAAAACATTTTAAAAAAACACTATTGATTATTTAATCATCACAGTATTCAATCAATAATCTAACACAAGGTGTAATACTCAAGATCTAATAGACTGAAATAATATCTTGATCCAATATGGCTCTGTATTCTTTTAAAGCAATCAGAAACACAATGCTATCCATCCTTTAGAACACACAATTTCTGAGTTGTGAACTATACAGTACAGACCACAAAAAGTCATTTGGAAAAACTCAACTTCTGAAAGGTCACCAACTTAAATGTTTTCAACAAATTGTTATGATCTGGAAGCTAATAAATTATAGTACATACAGGAACTGCTTGACATTAGGGGAAACAGAAGTTATCTGAATACATTCACTTAGAGGCCACCCCACTACTCCATGCCCCAAGAAAAAGTTAGGCATCTTTAGGGCCTCCCCTGGTGGCGCAGCAATTGAGCGCTGGGCTGTGAAGCTGCCAGCAGCCTTTGCAGAGCCAGTTCGATCCCCGGCCCCCGGTGAGGGTCCCACATGGCGCACAGGCCTCTCCTGCCATGACCGCTGCTCCCCTCAGCAGTGTATTTCGTCACTCTGTTCTGTTCCCCGCTCTAGCTCCGGTGAATTCTCTCACCCTCCCGCGCTTCTGACTGTACCCAGTGCTTGTATAAATAAACAAACAAACAAACAAACAAATAAATAAATAAATCTTTAAAAAAAAAAGTTAGGTATCTTTAAAAGAAAATGTTTTTAAGAAAATCATAAGGAAGAGAAAATAAATTTCTAGTACTATACTCTCATCAATACCATAAATTTACATCACATTTACATAAGAAAACCTGTATAGAAATGGACTTGCACAGTGCAAACCTGTGTTTTCAAGGAACAACTATATTCTATTTGTATTTTACACATTGAAAAACCACATAGGGAAGAACAGAATTGTACTTTTAGTGATGAACTTAATGTAGTATAGTAACCTGTTGATTTTCAATGATACATACACATGCTACTTCAATTAGGGGAAAAAAACAGTAAAAATCACAAAATGTCACATTCCAAAAAAGGAAAAACTGCAATTTAGCTTCTGAGACAGAGTATTGTAGTCACAATCCTTTGCCAAATGTACAAATGAATTGATTTTTGTGAGATGTATATTCACACTTCACATTTAAATAAATGCTGCTTAATTATTTTTTAAAGGATAACAATGCACAGACCATGGTATACAAAAGTATAGTGTTTAGTAATCTACTAAAAGTAGATTCTAAGATAAGCTAAATAAGAAAAAGTCTAATTATATCCATTAGCTGGAATTAGTGCAATTCATATAGAGCAGTGGGATGGGGGCGGGGGAGGGAAGCTATTTCATAAAACAAATTGTCAAGTGGGAAAAAACCATATAGTCATGTCTCACATATGTGGCTCCATTCAGAAATGGTTTTCTCCCACATAAGTTGGCCTTCTGGATAACAGGAACAAATCCTTCAACAACTATTTTTTATTACACCATTATCTACCAACTTAAGAGGCAATAAAATATAATTTAATCTTTTTTTTTTTTAAAGAATTATTTATTTATTTATACAAGCACTGGGTACAGTCAGAAGCGTGGGAGGGTAAGAGAATTCACCAGAGCCAGAGCGGGGAGCAGAGCAGGCAGAAGCACCGAAGTACACTGCTGAGGGGAGCAGCGGGCGGCAGGAGAGGTCTGCGTGCCATGCGGGACCCTCCTCTTGTGGCCGGGGAGCAGCCAGGGATCGAACCGGCGCTGCAGAGGCTGCAGGCAGCTTCGTAACCCAGCGCTCAACGGCTGCGCCACCAGGGAGGCCCTAATTTAATCTTCTTAATGATATGTTGCTAGTCATCCCAATTCCTGGCATGTTTTCTATTCAAAAGACAGGAACCAGGATCTAGATTTCCCTGTGAACAGCCAAGAGAATGAAACCTAAGTATAACAGTAGTGTTAAATCCTAGGGTTCCCACCTCATGCTAGCACTAACTTTTCTTTTTTTTAATTTTTTACATTTTATTTTATATATTTTTTACATCATTTTTCATTTATGCACAATGTATATGCATTTTCATTTTGGTTATAATCCCCATACAATTTCCATCCCCCTTGTTTTGATCCTACTCCTTCTCCCCCCTACACCCCAGCAGTGTGTCTCTGGTTTATAGTTGCTGGTTGATTTTGATTTTTACTTTATTATAATTAGTCTTTTTCCTGGTCCCTTATTTAGGTTTTCTAGATTCCTGCTATGAGTGAGACCATCCGGTATTTTTCTTTTTCTTTCTGGCTTATTTCACTGAGCATGATCCCTTCCAGCTCCCTCCATGTTGCTGCAAATTGCATGAGTTTATTTTTTTTGATTGCTGATTAATCTTCCAGTGTATATATGTACCACACCTTCTTCATCCAGTCATCTATTTTTGGGCATTTGGGTTGTTTCCATAGCTTAGCTATTGTAAATAGTGCTGCGATATACATAGGGGTGCAGGTGCCCTTTTGAATTAATGTTTCTGTGTCCTTGGGTAAAAACCTAGGAGTGGCTAGCACTAACTTTAAATGATCATTTGACTCTTGCATCATTTCTACCCATTTCTCAGCAATTTTTCCTCTACTTTCCTTTACCAATGACTTGGTCTCCTCCCCTAAAACCCACTGTCCCAAATGTCACTCCATAAATCTCCACAGATATCAAATAATCAAACTCTATTTTCTATGTTCTAAATAGAATACCCATTTATGACATGAACCAGGTATAGAAAACAGTAAGAATAAGTGAAGGTATGTCCATTTACATGCCTGCTATGAATATATTTTAAGTCTAAAGACAAGTGATTTGGAATTATTCTTTTTCCTTTGTGTCCAAAATAGATAATTGGGACTTAACTAAAATTCGAAATTAGTAACTATGCTTTTATCTTTAAGTGACATTCTCATTTACTGAGCAACTAAATTACATGCTGGTTAAAATTCAAATTCAGTTCTCCTTGTTCTGAGAAAATAAGAAATGCAGTTGATTTCCAATTCATAAACATTTACCTTTATTTCCAAAAACCACATCTACTTATATTTTAACAGTAAAGCAGTTAATCAAGAAATAGTCATAAAACTGTGCCTTTCAAAGTATGGACTCACATAGTTGTGTGGGCCACACATAACAGAATCATGGGCTTTACTACCATGAATCTGCTGAAGAAGAATCTCTGAGAGTGGGACTGACTTGTGGAGAGTAATTTAGTTTAAACAGATCTTGGCGGATTTTGCCTTTTCTTATCAGGATCCTCCGCCCCCACCCCCATGCAGACTGTACTTGGTAAGAGCCCAAAAAATATAGGATTCTACTGTTATCACATTCTCTGTGCCCCAACCCGTGGCCTTGGGTTATCTCACTATCAATCATGTCTAAGCACCATTTGTTACTTTCCCTTTCTCTGGCTTACTTTTAATCTCTTCCGCTCTTCTGGCGCCTTCTGAGATTGTCTGCGAGATCTTACTTTTCTCAACATAGATATCTAACTGCAAACATAATTCTGAAAGTTTCAAAACAAGACCCCACACTTAAGTCACTCATTGGAACAGGGGCAGAGTCAGGCCCTGACTTTTAGTCCTCAATCCGAGAACCACTACTCAGTTCCATCCATTTGGTTTTTGTAGTTCTTTTTCACCCTTCACAGATAGCTGCCACTGTCTGTTGTCAGAGTGTGGCCTTGGCAGCCTCTGATAGGGGTCTTAGTATGGGCTTAACTCAGCCTCATCTCTACTGTCAAACACATACTGCTTTTCCTCACAGTGCTGAGGCTACTCATAGGCTTTTTCACTAATTTAACAAATTCCTTCAGAAATATTTATGAAGTATTACAATGTTCCAGCATTGTGCTGGAATCCTTGGATAAAATATAAATGTGCTCTGGGTATGTGAGTTTTGCAGAAACCAGACCTCCTGAATGAAGACATTATTACATTTTAATTTTGTTTCCCTATTTACCTATGAATAAGTTAGTTATCAGTCTAATCTTTCCAAATGTAAGAATTTCTTTTGTAATCTCTGGTGCTGCCAGGTTTTTCAAAGGTTTAATATAGAAAGGGCAATTCTTGTCTATATTTAGTAACTGTATACCCATACTTTATTAAACAGAACTCAACAAAAACAGCTAAATGTAGTCAAAACTAGTATCTGCCTAATACAATAAATAAAAAGTTCAACAACAACAAAATACATTTAGTAAATTCAGGTGACTTACAGAACTAACCCTTCATATGAACAGTACTATTTGTTCCTTCCCTATCCTCTCTTTTTACCTCCTTTAAGGAAACCTCTACATTTGAGGAGGGTTCTCTTATTCTGACTCCCTCAATTTGCTGCCAGGCCCTCTGGAGGTACTATAGTGACCAGTGACCAGGCAGCACAATCTCTGAAGGCTGAATTAGAAGCAGATTTAAATCCAACAAAAAGTTGTCTATAACAGGTTTCTTATTCACTTTTTTTTTTTTTTAACTAGGTTAGATGGCAAGTTCCTGAGCATAGCTTACTTACCTAGACCCTGTATTCCTTACCTTACTGGTGAAACTGCCATCTGATCATCATAAGAATTGACTCACTTTTCTCCAAATAGCAGGGGCTCTCTCCAACACCAAACTACTACCATTTTTCTTCTTGTAAAGAAAATAATCTGAAGTATCTCTCTAGTTCTTCTGATCCATAGTAGGTAAGTGCACAATAAAATTTGCATGTTGCTGTTTCCATAGCAACTCAACAGGATCATATACCTCTATTCTCTAAAATACTTTTTTCTTTTAAAAGAAATATTTTTCTATACAGTTAAAAATCTAAATCTACTATTGAAAGAATGTAAACTCTAGAAAACAGGACTGGAACAAAGACATATAAAGGTTTTTATACAAAGTTGCTCTATTATACCATTTGGTACTTACGATCAATCAATGGCAAAATAGTAATACATATCAGATTAACTTACCAATGGCCTTTGTATAATGCCTTGCACCAAGCAAAAGTTCTGGAGCCCGATACCAAAATGTGACAACTACTGGATCCAAATCTGCTAGTGGCTTTAGAGGAGAATTGAATAATCTGGCAAAACCCATGTCAGCTAAAAAATAAAATAAGTTAATATAAAACTCAGTTTGGCATGCTGTTAGAGCCATGCAAAGTTGATAACAATAGCCACTAACCTTATAAAGCAATCTTTTCCTCCCTTCTTCAACCAATGGCCTACACCATGCACCAGATCTCCCCTTCTGAGGTAGACACTATTATTGTGCCTACTACTATTATTGGGCCTACTTTACTGATGAAGTAACTGAAGCTTAAAGATACTCTGATTTGCCCAAGGTCATCGGGCTAGTAAAAACAAGAGTCCAAATTAGAATCTTAATTAGAATCCAGTTTATGACATCAGATTCCTGGCTTTCAGAAACATTTACAACAATAATCCTACATGTTTTTTAAATGAAAAACTGCTGAAAGACAATGAAGTCCACTCATGACAGTCAATCTATATACATCTTTTCCTAGCTCTGCGTTTGCTGACATCATCTTGGTGGCTTGAAACTGGCTATAGGAGTACTTGCATCATGGAAAACAGCAAATGCTACAAACTAGGGCTTCTCCACTACCTTCTCACCTAGAACCACTTATTGCATAATTACATCACATACATGTTTCCAAGAACATATACAGAATACATGAGATAATTTGTTATAATTCAGCATTTAACAAAGGTCTTATACCAAGGTTAACTGATTTAAATATTAGAGGTATGCGCCCCCCCCCAAAAGAACATTTATTATTAAAATAGGTCCTGGAGACTGTCACTTTTCCTTAAGATTTCATAAACAACTAATACCTTATATCTATAATGTACTTTAGGGTTACAAATGGTTTTCACATACATCATGTATCACTTCATCTAATCATTTTAAGAATCCTGGTTTAGTATTTTGTTCTCCACCTGAGGATACAGAATCTAAGGCCCAAGCAGTTAAGCAACTTGCTTAAGGTTACAGGGATCATAAATAAAGATGCTAGTATTCCAACAAAATCTGTTACAATTTAGCAGCTATGTTCTTAACCAGTGATCTGACATCCAATAAGTTAAACATACAAATGCATGTCACAAAGGCAAAAATCATAAGAACGATATCTGTAATTTGAAATATATAATATACACATGATATTTTGATTGTAGAAGGGGGTCTCAATGTACTATAAAATGCAAATAGTACATAAAATGTTCACTATAGACAAAACTAATATGCTATGATCTCACTTACATTAAACTTTATAGTAATTTGGTTTTAGAGTCTGAATAATTTACAAGACTTTCTGAGAATGTTCAGGAGAATCCAGATCTTAAAAAAACAAAGTTATCCAAGGAAGTCTGTCTTGATGCTACCGTTTAATTAAATTTGCCTCTAGCAAACAAAACTATTCAAAATCACTACCGATATTATACCTACTTTGAAATACTATATATTTAGTATCAATGGCAAAGTAATATAGTGGAATTCTATTTTACCCACTGAAAAGCCATTTTATTTTTACGTAAAGACTAAAGTTAATATTTCCCCCCTATTTTCTTCTTCCATAGTTATAAGTCATATCTATGCACTGTCAGATAAAAATCAAGGTCAGAGGAAACAAAAATATTCTTGTTTTAAATACTTTAAAGGATTTCCAAACCATTTTTTCAAGTAACTACTAATTTACACAAAAGGGAACTAATCTAAACATTACTAACAACTGTTTTCCTAAAATCAGATATGAGTGAAATTGTTCAATGCAATGGACACTGCAATAGCATAGTAAGAACGACTTGTTGTTCAATGCAAGAACGACTTGTTGTTCAATATAACCGCGTAGTAAGATTCTGGTGTGAGTACTAATTAGGAAGTATCAAATAACAGAAAAGAGCAAAAGGAAAAAAGTACCATCAAGGAGCTTAAGTAGAGGTAAGAAGACAAAATACATGGAGTAGATAAAAGTAAAAAACGTAAGTATTGTTAGAATAAAGGAAAGTTGTTACTGGTTTCTACTAGACTCTAAGTCCCTTGAGGGAAGGGTCTGCGTTTCTTTTATGGTTTTACCTAGAACAACGGTTGATAAATCTTTGTAGAAGTGGAACTTGGTTTGGGTTCTGAAGACTGCAACACTGAACGGTTGAAAAGGCATGAACATTTTAGATAAGGCTTGGGAGTCTTTAGGTTGCTGGAAGGAGAGGCTCAGATATAGGGGCACAATGTATTTTCCATTTCATGCCTTTCTTTCCAGACAAAAAACCAACTATATTAAAGTGCTAAGCACAGGCATAAGGTCATTACTAATTTAAAAACAACACACCATTAAAATATTTAAAAGCAATTTAATCAACTAGACTATTCACTAGATTTTTATTCTTAATTATTATTTACTTTTAAGCCTAGTTTTATCTGTAACCTTGGACAGAGTTATAGTCCTAAACTGTTAGAACACAGAATTTATGTTAAAGAGTAGCACAATTTTTTGAGAGTAGTATGGAGAACACATTAAGTTTAGGTGACTGGGATAAACATGCTGACTGGTAAAAACAAGGGAAGGTATAAGAAGATGATGAATTTGATTTGGAACAGTGGAATATAAGTTGTCAGCAGGACAACCAAATAGAGCGAAGGATTTTAGCTAGTGTAAGAAAGTAGAATCTGAGAACCAGATCTTAGAATCATTTTCATAGTATCCAATATTTAAGGCCACAGTTTATCAATTCTCTAAAGAAGAATTAATAGTAAAGAAGTAATAGTAGAGGGAGGCTATGTCCCAAGGCAGTGCCTAGAAAATCTTAAAGCGAAGGTGAATTGGCATAAGAGGCAATAATGAAAATAATAGAGAAGCAAAAAAGCAAAAGTGGTAGATGGAAAAACAGAATTATAAAATGTCAAGTAAACCAAGGGAAAAGACAATCCCAAGATCAGAATGGTCAAAAGAACACATAGCTAAAGCAGTAAAGGAAAATGGTGACTAAATACAGGTCATTAGATTTGATAAGACAGCGGTCACAGGTGTCCTTTTAGAGCTGTTTCAATAGAGGGATAGAATTAGAGGCCAGATTATAACAAAATAGGGTGAGTGGAACAAATGTGTGAATACCATGAGTTCTAGAAATAGAAGAACAAGGGCGGGAGTTGGGAGACGAACAAGTGGTAAAGAAAACAAAATGGATATGAGATGTATTTTAAAACTGTGAAGATGACTATGTATAAAGGTAAAGAAGAGAAACTTTAGAAAGGGAGAACAGAGATGCTATAATATGAGAAGCTTAAGCACAGCAGGAGGAGATTTAAGAGCTAGGAAGGGCACTAGGTTGGATTTAAGGAGATTCTCTGAGATTATTTCCAAGGCAGAACTATGCTGACAAAGGTGGTCAGTGAAGGCACACCAGATAGCTTTGCTATCACCAGCAGTGTTTGCAGGGAAAAAGACTACGGGCTTGGAATTCAAGCATTACCTTTGAAAGGCTGAGCAAGCTTCAACCTCTCTATATCCAATTTTTTATATCTGTAATATCTACATAGAGGGTGGTTGTGTAAAAAAATAAGGTAACATATGAAAGTATCACACTGTATAGTCAACTTTATTTTACTGTTTCTTACAGGGACCATTCTTTATCTCCCTTTCATTTTCACCTTTTGTTTATTAGCAAAAGGGTACTCCATAAATGCTTGTAAGAAAAAAAAGTGTGAGTGAGAATGGTAGAAACCAGTGAGAATGGTAGAAAAGGAATGTGAAGGAAAGGGGCAAAGAAAGGAAAGCAGCTACTAGGTTTTTAACAACAGTATTTTTAAATGACTCTTAATTTCAGTTAAAATCAGAGTAGAGGTTTAAAGAGAAGGGAAGATATTAGGAAAGAAAGAAATCATAGATAATAAGCTTTTTTTCCCTTTTCTTTTTGGACCAATAAGTCTCCTTGTAAACTATATGGAGAGAAGAGTTGGTTTAAAATAGCTTTTACAGCCTGAATTTTATACTTTATAAACCCAGATTACCTCTATTAAAAAAAATTGGGGAAGGAACAAGAAAAAAAAGTTTCTTTAGGAACTGGATTAGTGAAGAAGTAGAAAACCAAGCTGCAGGCTAACCGGGTTGAAGCAGGACAGAATGAATTTGTAGTGAGTGATGTTACGATATTTTTGTATCACCCTGGCATGAAATATATTCTAATAGCAAAAAAAGCAGACTGACGAAAGAAAATTTATTTTTAAAGCCTCCAAAATATATGGAACATTCAATATATGTAATTTCTTCTATACGGTATTAGAATAAAGCATTGCTTAGCTCATTTCTCCCCCCACCCCATGGCATAGGTATATATGATATAGAATTCTTTTACAGCCTTCAGAGTTGCAAAGGATATTCTTTCACCCTCCTACTCTTTTTCATCCAGGCATTTATTAAGTGTCCTTTTTGCTAGACACTGGTAAAAGTGAGAAGGCGATAAAGGATGGTACCTACCCGTGAGAGTCAGCAAAATAAACAATTTATGATTTATTATAATAAATATTCTCATATGTTTCCCCATTTATTTTCTACAACCACCCTCTACTGTAGATATTACAGGGGAGGAAAGCTGGATTTAGAGAGACGGTAGCTTGCACAGTCTTTCAAAATAGCACCTACATTCCAAGTAAAGAATGCCTTTCCCTAGGACTCCTGCCAGTGTCTTACCAAGTAAGGGTCTACAGTAAGTAAGACTCTTACTTACGGGCAAGTAAGAGTTTATAAAAATACATATCATTTGGGAAGGGTATGTTGGTACCTGGTACTGCACCTGTAAACAGGGGGAGGAGAGATCCATGTGTATCAGGTCAGGGTGGAGGGATATATTCAGGGAAAGACCATTTGGTAAGGCTGAGATCAAAGTAAGATTAGGGGTATTACTTTTAGAGTCACTGTGCAGGACAGTGGCTGTGGCATAAGCCTGGGTTGTGTTCATTCATGGGAATGAGTCTTTTACAGGCTTGCTTGGCAACTGCGTCAGCTGAGAATTATAGAACCTTAAATCTGAGAATAAATCCGAGGGGTGGCAGAAAGTACCTACATTTCCCAGCATCTTTTCTAAAAATATTATGTGGAAACAATTTAAAAATTAACTACTTAAATAAGAGCACTAAAAAGGGAAACCATCTTTTCATCACTTCAGTTTCTTCATAAATTATTTTAGGAATAATTACCTACCTATTTTGACTCTCCCCCTCTCAGGACCTTCTCCCATTACTAGGATATTTGCTGGTTTCTAGAAATAAAAATAGAGCATTCAAATTACTATGTTTATTCTTTTGACATGCTCTAAAATGAAAAAAAAAAATTATGAAACTATCAGTTTTACACTTTCATCAAAACTATAATAAAATAAGTAAGCATTTTACATACTTCAAGTTAACACTAACTTAACTTACACATCCTTGTTATGGAAACATGTCTTTCAAAATTATAGCACACAAGTAATTACAAAGGAATTAAAGCTATCATTTATTTCTATTTATTCCACAGATGTTACCAGTAATAATTAAAAAACCTGCACAAATTATAACTGCCCACTTGCTGCCCACAACAGTTTTGTGGTTGAAAAATTTTACTAAGATTTCAAACCACAACATAATTTCCTTTATTTAAATTAATCAAATGAAATATCCCTTGATAAATATTTCTGAACTGTAGGGAAACATGATCAACATTCAACAGATTCCATTAAAATTCACATGCCTTTTCAGTTATAGTTCATGCAAAAGTGAGAAATTCCAAAAATAATTTCAAGATGTAGGAAAATAAAAACTAAGGCTAATACCAAGCTATATTAAGAAAAGAGTAGGCTGCAAATGTATCCACCATCTTTTAAAGCATCCTCATTTACAGACATTTGGAAACAAGAACTGTGGCTATAGGCTTGTCTTTTAGACAAGTAAGTCACCTTTGTAAACTATTTGGAAAGAAAAATTTGTCTTTAATGTACGTGATTCATTTAATCAGTCAATGAACATATTTTTAATGTCTCTGGAAACAAGTGAGTGTGATAACCATGCTAAGAATTAAGAGAAAAACAAAAGCACAGAAAACCAAATTCCTAACTTCCAGACGCTCACTCTGTAAGTAGAAAAGAAAAATCAGACGTTTCATGTAATAAAAGAAGGTACTACTATGTATGAGTTACAGAGGGGACTGAGTTAGAGGTTAAACTAGATTACTTTTAAGATCCGGTCCAATTTGCTGACTCTATTAAGCTTCAATGAAAATAATAAGCACTTAAAAAAGCAGTTCAAAGGAGGAAGTGATTAATGAGAGTCTCTATTGTTAAAAGAAATGCTCACTGGAAGGTGTGCCCATGTGCAGACACTGAGAAACAGAGCTAAAGATGGGCAGGAGCACTGAGGGGAGGGGGCAGTGGGAGTCTGGCCACAGGTGAGGGGGCAGTATAATGACCTAGAATCTAGATACTCTAACACACCATGTGAAGTAACCTGGCCTTTATATTAGAGGCAGAGAAATTACAGGAGAGAGAGAGGGGCTTGGGTGTGAAGTGACAAGAGCCCAAGGTCCTCTCAGCTCAAATGGAGAGTCTAGTATGGAATGGGGTATAATATTTTAAAGAAGAAATTAATAGAACTTTCCGATTATAGTTGAAGTCAGAAGGTTAAGAAAAAGAGTGAACAAGATGCAACCAAGGCTTAGAGTTTATGTGACTGGAAGAATGATAGGTACCTTTTAGACTAAAAAGTTATGAAAGGTGGAGGGGAACAACACAGAAAAGGAGATGATATTTTGAGTTTGAGTAGTGTGAGATGCCTCAATCCAAGGGAGTGGAAAAAGGGGAGATTTGGATTTGAAAGTTACTGTCACTGAAGTATAACAACTGAAGACATGAAAAGATTAGTTTACCAGAGTAAAAGGAGTAAAACAGCATCAGAGAAAAACCAAATCTTCAAAATTCAAGTTTGACAATGATTTACCAAAGATTATATATATAAAATATTTTACTGAAGATTTTCATGAAACAAAGAAAAATAAAATGTAAATCCTCCAACTTCAGGAAGCTTAAAATCTAGTAGGGAAAGAAATTTTTAGAATAAAAATAGATTATGAAAATAGCAAAATAAAATGACAGTGATGAATTATTTTTTTCAGTGAATATGAGGATAGTTTTTAGGAAGGAGATGATTTCATATGAATTTAAGGATGACTAAGTTTTTGATAAGCATAAAAGAAATGATTTTTCAAGCTTAGCGAATCCTATATGGGCATTGTCACAGAAGCACAGACATGGCATGCTGGAAGAAGTGACAGGTATTTTGATATGATTAGAGCATGTAGGCTTGGTGTAGAATACGTCTGGAAACTATGTTGGGAACAAAATGCCAATAATACACTAAAGTGGAGACATAGAACCTTGGGCCACCATCCAAGGTGAAGAAGCTGAGTCTGCTACCACAGATCCTCAAGGTAGCTTAAGTAAACCTAAATGCTACCATCCATTTTTTTAAAGGTTTATTTATGCATACAAGAATTAGGGTACAGGCCAGAAGTGTGGGGGTGAGAGAATTTACCAGAGACAGAGTGGGGAACAGAACAGGCAGATCTACTGAAATACACTGCTGAGGTGAGCAGCAGGCGAGTCAGGAGAGGCCTGCTGCGCTATGTGGGTAGCTCCTTGGCTGGGGATCGTACTTATGCTGCAGTAGCTGCGGATAGCTTCACAGGCTGCGTCTTAATCCCCTGCACCACCAGGGAGGCCCTAAATGCTACCATTAAGAACAAAAGCAAACTCTCTCTGGAGGAAAACCTTCCTAACTTAGGTCTAAGGACTTTTCTACTAAAAGCAGATTATTTCCACATTGGATCAAAAACAAAACCCATTCCTATCATATTTACAAAAGATCTACCTAGCACAGACACCATAAAAACTAGAAGTAAATGGCTATTAAAAGATGTATCAGGGCCTCGCTAGTGGTGCAGGGATTAAAGTCTCAGCACTATCAAGATATCACCAGCCACTGCGGCATCAGTTCAAACCCCAGCCAGGGAACTAAGTCACATGGCACAGCAGACCTCTCCTGTCTTGCCCCCTGCTTCCCTCAGCAGTGTATTTCAGTAGATCCACCTGTTAGGCTCCCCACTCTGTCTCAGTGAATCCTCTCACCCACTCCTCCCCACCTACCTCTGGGCCTATATCCCAGTTCTTATATGCATAAATAAATGAAAATATATCTTTAAACAAAAAGATGTATCAGGAAAAATGCTCAAGGAAGGTGGAATCAAGTACAGTAATGTCAAAATAAAGACAAAAGTATTAGTAAGAGTAGAGATGGTCACTGCAGAATGTTACAAGGTTCAATTTACCAGGAAGAGGCAACATTTCTAGATTTGTTATGTACACATACATATGCATATATAAAAGTATATACCAAAAATTGATAATAACTTCAGGGAGGGGGAAAGACTAGTGACAATGTGCTTTTCTCGATTACTGATGTCAAAGATACAAAAGATCTCTAAGATAGAGATTATCCAAACACAATTAACAAAATTGATCTACATCAATCAAAAAACTGATCTATTTTTTACCCATTAATGAGAGAATACAGATTTTTCTCATGCACACATGGAACAACATCAAATATTGATCATGAACTAACAGGTCTGACAAAATTTCAAGGTATTGTTAACAAACAGACTATGTTTTCTGAGTACAACACAATTAAAAGTATAAAAGCATAAATTTAAAATTCCATATATTTGGATATTTTAAAATATTTATAAATCACTCAGAGGTAAAAGGAGAAACTATGAAGGCATTTAAAATACTCACAAATTATACAACTTATCAAATCTGTGAAATACATAATAGATTTGTATCTATATTTCATGCAGTACCAATAAGGGAAATTTATAGCCTTAAATATTTGTTAGACAGGAAGGCTGAACATAATAAACTATGTACCTAAGTTGGTAAGTAAAGGGGGCATGGAGTGAGCCAAAAGAGTAAACCAAAAGAAAGTAGAATAAAAAGATTAAGGGCAGGAATCTATGAATTAAAGAGGATTTATGTTGCATCTAGGACACTGGAGCAAGGGGAGAGAAGGTGTAAATAAACATTACAAATTACAAAAAAGAATACAATTATACATACAGTGGAGTTAAGAAAGATAAATCCTTCTAAATTTTCAAAGCACAGATTGTTTCAATCCTATTCATTTTTCAGAGAAATAACTGGCTATATCTTTAAATAACCTCCAAACATCAAAGATAAAGAGTGTAAAGACAAAGCACAAACTGCCAGGAGCATTTGCAATACATAAGCAACAAATTTAGTATCAGAATAAAGAACTTCTACAATATGAAAAACAACCTAAGAGAAAAATGGGCAGAATGTTCAAACAGATATTTAACAACAAAAACCATGTTTAAGAGCTAAGGACATGAAAAAAATGCCCAGCCTCACCAATAATGAGGGAAATATGAAATTAAAACCACAGTGAAATACCATTTTACACCTTGTGGACTGAAACTCGAGAACAAGTAGATCACTGACAACTCCAACACACTGCTGGTGACAGAACAACTTCTTTGGACAACTATTTGTGGTATCAACTTGCAATTTTGAACAATTGCATACCCTTCAACTCAGGAATTCCATTTTTAGATTCACCAAAGAATGTTCATAGCAGCACAGTTTGGAATAGAAAAAAAATCTGGACAAAACTCAAATTTCTAGCTAATAGGAAAATGGAAAAATTAATTGTGATAAAATAACACAATGAATTTTGAAGTAGCAGTGAAAACTCACTGAATTATAAATTAATGTAAAAACATGTTTCAGTCTTGGAAGCATTATGTTGAGTGAAAAAAAAAGCAAGCTTCTACAAAACTATATACAGCAGGATGCCATTTTCCTAAAAAAGCCAAGTAAAGAAAAAGAATTGACTATTCGAGCATATATACAAATGTGATAAACCTTCTTCTAAAGAGAACTGAATAATAGATTCAAAACTTAGTGTATTTGTAATACCTTGTAGGAGGCAGCAGGAGGATAGTTTGTGAAAAAACTTGAGTAAAAAGAGCAATTGGGTTAAAGTGACAAGTCTTCTGAACTGTTTGCTATATTTTTAATGCTTTATAACCACACATACATAAATGTTCTTTGGCACATATCACTCATTAAGAAGATACTAAAGATAAAAAAATAAGGAAGGAATGGGAAAAGACAATTGGGAGTGCATTGAAAAGGTGTTATTTTCATTA